ATAGTGGGTATGTCATTTTCCATTCCTACCAACACATTACAAAAGTTGCACTTCTCCACATCCTTGCTAACAACTGTTATTTTCTATTTATAATACACATCCTGAAAGGTTATATCTAGTTTTGACTTGATTTCTGTTTCCCTGATACTTAGTGATGTTGAGCACTTTTCTTATGTATATTGATCAGTTCTGTGAAGAAATGATATTGAAGCTTTTTACAGATGTGAGAGTTGGACTATAAAGAAAGCTGAGCACTGGAGAATTGATGCTTTTGAACTGTGGTTTTGGAGAAGACTCTTGAGAGTCCCTTGGTCTGCATGGAGTTCCAACCAGTCCTGAATATTCATTGGAAGGACTGCTGTTGAAGCTGAAACTCCAATACTTTGGCCACCTGATGCAAAGAACTGACTCATTTAAAAAGACACTGATGCTGAGAAAGAATGAAGGAAGGAGGAGAGAGGATGACAGAGGATGAGATGGTTCGATGGCATCACCGACTCAATGGACAAGAGTTTGAGTAAACTCCAGGAGTTGGTGATGGACAGGGAGGCCTGGCATGCTGCGATTCATGGGGTCACAAAGAGTCAGGCATGAATGAACAACTGAACTGACTGAAATTTCAGTTATTTGCCTGCTGTTGTTTTGAAGTTGAGTTGTAGTAGTTTCTTTGACATTCTGGATGTAAGCCCCTTATTCAGATACACATTTTGAAGATACTTCCTCTCATTCTATAGTTGCTTGTTGTTGATTGTTGAGACTCTCCTTTCTTCACTTTTTAAATTTAGAACCTTGGCAAAGATCATTTGGCCACACGTGTGTCAATTTACTTGCAATTCCCTTTTTATGGTTCCCTGGTCTCTTCCTTCCTATTTTGTTGCTGGTACAACACTGTTTTGACTGTTGTGGCATTCTAATGTGGATTGAATTCAGGAAGCATTAAGGCCCCATTGTTCTTTGCTCTCAAGACTTTTTCTCTTTGAGTTTCTTTTAGGTTCCATAAGTATCAGTATTCTGGGTTTGTTTTTTTTTTCCCCCATTTGTATAAAGTTGAAATGAGATTTTGTGAGTGGTTTCAATATATATGTACATCACTTTTAGTTGTATAAGGTCAACAGCACTAAATATTCCAGTCTGTGAATATGCTATGCCATTCCATTTACTTGTGTCTTCTTTCTCTCAACAGTGTACAATGGTTTTCAGTGCCCAAATCTTGCACTTCCTAATGAGCCTCTTGCACTACCTTGTTTGAGTCATCTGAGTCAGGGACGGGAAAGACAGGCTCATGAAGAGAGGGAATGTCCTCTCTCCCCTCTGTGCCTACCCTCTGGTTACTTGTAGTACAGGTGTGCAGGGCCATGCCTTCACCTCTGCCTACAAGTGAGCCCCCTCTGGGAATTTTCTTTAAATCTGAGTGTTCACTTTACTATTGAAATGTCCACAAGCACTCTCCCAATGCCTGGCCTGTGTCCAAGAGCCCCAGGTATACCTACATATGACTGAGCATATGAGACCATCAAATCTTCTGCAATAAAGAAAAACCTGAACAGCAGCTCAGCGTCTTTTCCTTATCATTGGAGCTCTTAGAGCTGAATGTTCCAGTGGAGTAGCCACTACTCAGATCAGCCTATTTATAATGAATATACTTCAAACAATAATTAATGTGTTATATTTTTAAAAAGCCCCACAAAAACCACAGAATTACTTGGTCACACTAGTGATATTTCAGGTGTGTCCATAAATGTTGGAATTTCAGTTTCATAAGCTTGAATGTAAGAGCTATATTGAGCATGTGGAAAAGTAAGGTTGGGATTCTCTCAGGATCTCTATGTCATGTGAAATTTTGCAACTGTGATCAACATCTTGTTGAAAGGCTCTGACTCCGCCAAGCACAGGGAAGGTCTGTGAACCTGGAGGGAAGACCAGGGAGATGCTTTGTGAGCCAAGAGAAGGAGGAAAGATGGAAGGGTCAACTTGTATAATAACTGTATTATTGCTCATGGTTGTCTTTCTACAGAAATGTATGCTAGAGAGTCTTAGCAGCAGTGATGTAGAAGAGAATTAGATAGGACACAGGTCTCAGGGAGAGTAGGATTTAGAGGGAGAGGGTTCCTGAACCGCTCAGGTTATACCTGCTTCTTTGGAGATAAAACAGGTGAATATGAACTGAGGATTTAAATTGGAGGGAGAGAGTTTCTGGACCACTTGGGAGATAAAAGAAGGTGAATATAAACTGAAGAAGAAGGGAGTATGTGTAAGCTTGTGATTTGCTCCTCGTATTTTAATGAAATAATAAACTGTGTGTGCATGTGCTTTGTTGTGCTGCGCCTGTAGTCGTCTCTTGTTACAGACATCTCTTCTTGCTTTTACGTTTAGAAGTGTCCTTTCTCACAAGACTCCTCTTTCTTTGTCCTTTCATTGAGAAACATGAGAGAATGGCTTATGGTTAGTGCCTTCAGAGTCTTACACACAAGGGACTTCAGGCCTGTTTAAATTCTCCTGTGATGGCCACATCCTAATGGGACCAAAAGCCTAATAGTTACTTGACACTGCAGGCCAAGCTCTTGCAGTGAGTGTCAGGTTCTGGGTGAGATATGAACTCGCTACCTCTGCGTTTTCAGGACTCGTAGATTGCCCTCACGTTTGTCTTCATTGTTTATTGCTCATGTAAAGGGTGTTCTCGGGGTTGGATAAGTCAACGCACACAGGCTCTGGCGTCCCAGACTGGACTGAGTCTCCTGGAGTTCATCTCAGCTTCCAGCCCAAGGATGCTGTGCTGAAGGCGCCTTCACGTGAGAGCGGTCCATGCCCCGTTGCCCCTGGAGACCAGCAAGCCCCCAGACGCTTGACAATGTGAGGGAGCTGCTGGCTTTCCTAACACACTGGCTCTCACAGCCCTGCTGACCTGGCCTCCTGGGTCTGACCAGACGCAGGTCAGAGACTCAGAGCAGCGGGACCCAGGATCACTGTTCCACGTAGAACCCAATGCTCCATCTAGACAGCCCTGCCCCTGCTCTGCACACCCCAGTCCTGCCCACCCTGTTACCTTTACTCAAACTTTCCCAGGTTTGATTCCTCCCAGTCTTTCCAAGATTGGGGTAAACCCTGGCTGGGGCTGTGTGTATATGAGGCTTCCCTATCTGTAAAACCTTTGTGGCATCACTTCAGACTAAGACACTTTGGACATGTTACTTTAATTATAATATTGTGTTCATCCTCCCTAAGGGGCTAAGAGACTTAAGCAGTTATTTTGAGCACCAAGTTTCTCCCAGTTATCTAAAGTTAGCTCAGGCACAGAATACTTGTTACCTGAAGTTGGTTGTGTATCTAGGCTGTTGTGGAAAGTGATGCAGTGAATTTAGGACTGCAGATATCTCTTTGTGATACTGATTTAATTTCCTTTGTATATATATCCAGAACTGTGTTTGCTGAATCGTATGCTACTCCTTTCATACATTTATAAGGAAACTTTTACTGTTTTCCACAACATAGCCACACAATTTACATTCCCACCAGCAGTGTACAAAGGTTCTAGCTCCCCACATCATGGCCTTAACCTGTTAATTCTTTGCCTTTATAATATACAAACTAACAGGCATGAGGTGTTGATTTACTTTGCCCTGATGATTAGTGAGGTTGAAAACCTTTTCCTTTGTATGCTAGTCATTTGTCTGTCTTGTTCCCGAAATGTCTGTTTAAATCTTTGCACATTCCTCAACTCCCTTATTTACTCTTTTTAATATTTTTTTGTTTTGCATTTGAGCTGTGGTATTTTCTTATGAATTTTGAGGATGAGCTCCTTATCTGATACATGGCTTGTAATTTTTCTGTAGGTTATCTTTTCATCGTACTGATTTATTGAAGAGACTACCCTTTTCCTATTCCATTGTCTTAGAACCTTGATGAATTTCATTTGACCATGTATCCGTGACTTTTCTTGGAGCTCTGTATTCTGGTCTTTAGGGCTATGTATCTATTTCTATGTCAGTATCATACAGGTTTGATTCCTATATCTTTGTAATGTGTTTTGAAATCAGGAGGTGAGATATTTTGATCTTTGTTTTCAAGGTTATTTTGTCTATGTGGAGTCCTTAGCAGTTCCATATATATCTTTGGATTTGTTTTTCCCATTTCTATGAAAGTGATGTTAATATTTTGATTGGTGTTGCAATGAATTTTTACTTAGCTTTGGGTACTATAAAAATGTCAACAGTACCAAGTCTCCAGTCTATGAGCATGATCTGTCAGTTCAATTCCTCGTGGCTTAGTTCATTCTCTCAGTGGGGTGTGTAGTGTTCAGTGTGCTGGTCGTTTCTCTCTGAAGACCCTGTGTCCCTCCCTCCCTGATCTCAGAGTCAGTGGTGGAGGTATGGGCTGGTGAGGAGATGCAGTGTCCCTCCCTCCGTCCTCACCTCTTCTCTGATGATGTTCAGCACAATTGCCCTGGGCCCTGTGTCCACACCTGTCCCCTCAAGTGGAACACCTGCTGGGAAATCCTCTAAGATCTAGGTATTGGCATTGCTGTTTCAGTGTCCCAAAGGCTCCTGAGTACGTGGGTTGTATTCACAAGCGCAGGAAATACCTACAAAAATGAATCATCAAATCAGGCCAGCCAAATACTCTGCAGAAGCTGTTGGGCTACATTTTGCAGGCCTGCAAGTGCTGTACTTTGCCTGGACTTGAGACCAAAAAAAACTCCAGAGTTGACAGAGATATCAAAGGGTTAATAGATGGGACATCTTACATATCTGAAGTAAATGGGTCCTGGAGATGAAAGGTTGTTGCTGAACCACAAAAAGACTCCGAGATTCTTGGCCTCCGGAGGAGAAGAATTCAATCCAGGGCCAGAGACGAGGCTTGATCCCTCAGAGCTTTTGTGTAATAAAGTTTAATTAAAGTATAAAGGAGACAGAGAAAGTTTCTGACATAGGCATCAGAAGGGGGCAGAAAGAGTGCCCCCCTGTTAGTCTTTAGCTGGATGTTATATAGTCACTAGCAGTTTGTTAAGAAAGAAAGGAGGGTGTACGTGCAGAGCGCGCAGAGCGAGTGGCGCCCACACGCCCTGCGCTGCTCCGCCGGCCGAGCCGGCCGCCCGGAACGCTGAGGCGGCGGCGGCCAAGGCGGCGGGTCTCGCGCGCCGGGCCCGCGTGCCCGAGCGGAGGGCGCCGTCCGCCGCGCAGGCCGCGCTCCCTCAGCCCGCGGCGGTGATGAGGCGCTGAGGCGGCGGCCGGCGCTGCGTGGCGCGACCGAAGGACGAGGACGCGGCCGGGCCGAGGGCGCGGGGCGCCGGTCTCCTGAGGCGAGGGGCGGCGGGCGCATGGCGCAGTGACGGCCCCTGCCGCTCCGCCCGCTCCCCGGCCCGAGGCTAGGCCGTCCGGCCGCCACCCCTCCTGCTCGGCCGCCGCCTCCAGCCCCGCCGCCATGGCCAATGACAGCGGAGGGCCCGGTGGGCCGAGCCTGAGCGAGCGAGACCGGCAGTACTGCGAGCTGTGCGGGAAGATGGAGAACCTGCTGCGCTGTAGCCGCTGCCGCAGCTCCTTCTACTGCAGCAAGGAGCATCAGCGCCAGGACTGGAAGAAGCACAAGCTCGTGTGCCAGGTCGGCGAGAAGGTTTCTGCCCCCGGCACGGGCCAACCGTTAAGCCGGGCCGCGTGCCGCCGCCCAGGGCCGCCGAAGCCAGGGAGGCCAGGAAGGCGGCGCCGCGCCGGGACCGAGCCGTCGACGCCGCGGGTCCGCGGGCCTCCGGAGACGCGGCCAAGGCGAAGGCAAAGGCCAAGCCTACGGCCGACCCCGCGGCAGCCGCGTCCCCGCCCCGCGCGGCCCCCGGCAGCCAGGGTTGGGTAACGGCGGCCGCCGAGGCGGAGTCCGCGAAGGAGGAGCTGCTGGCCCGCCCGTCGCTGTACCAGGAGAGGGCGAACCTGTACCCGCTGAGTAACGCGCCGGGCGAGGGGCTGAGCCACGGCGGCCTGTGGCCCAACGGGCAGACGAAGCCGATGCCGGCACTGAAGCTGGCGCTGGAGTGCATCGTGCCCTGCATGAACAAGCACGGCATCTGCGTGGTGGACGACTTCCTGGGCAAGGAGACCGGCCAGCAGATCGGCGACGAGGTGCGCGCCCTGCACGACACGGGCAAGTTCACGGACGGGCAGCTGGTCAGCCAGAAGAGCGACTCGTCCAAGGACATCCGAGGCGATAAGATCACCTGGATCGAGGGCGAGGAGCCTTGCTGTGAAACCATCGGGCTGCTCATAAACAACATGGACGACCTGATCCGCCACTGTAACTGGAAGCTGGGCAACTACAAAATCAATGGCCGGACGAAAGCCATGGTTGCTTGCTATCCTGGCAATGAACAGGTTACGTACGTCATGTCGATAATCCAAATGGAGATGGAAGATGTGTGACATGTATATATTATCTTAATAAAGACTGGGATGCCAAGGTAAGTGGAGGTATACTTCGAATTTTTCCAGAAGGCAAAGCCCAGTTTGCTGACATTGAACCCAAATTTGATAGACTGCTGTTTTTCTGGTCTGACCGTCGCAACCCTCATGAAGTACAACCAGCATATGCTACAAGGTACGCAATAACTGTTTGGTATTTTGATGCAGATGAGAGAGCACGAGCTAAAGCAAAATATCTAACAGGTAAAAAAGGTGTGAGGGTTGAACTCAATAAACCTTCTGATTTGATCAGTAAAGACGTCTTATAGAGCCTTTCATCCAGCAATACCCCACTTCACCTACAATACTTATTGATGCTACTTGTTAACTTGTGAATACAAATAAATGGGATAAAGAAAAATAGACAGCCAGTTGGCAGTTTAAGGAAACAGAAACAACTTTTTTGTGTTGCGTCAAAACAGAGATTTTGACTGTGTGGCTCTGTACTGCATGATCGACTCCAAACCTGTGATGGGAGGAATGTAAGTTATCAACTGAAAGTGGTGTTTACATCTGGACATGAAATAAGTGCCCTAGGCAGAATTGTTTTCATTCTTATATTTTGCCAGATCTGTCATCTAGCTGAATTCATTTCATCTCTCCCTTTTTTATATAGTCAAGTTTGAATTTGAAATAATTTTTGTATACTCAGGTACAATTTATCAAAACTGAATTGAGAAAAAATTACAATATTATTTCCCAAAATAGCATCAATCTATTTTTGTAAACCTCTTCATACTATTAAATTTTGCCCTGAAAAGCCTCTTAAAAAAAAAAGAAAGAAAAGGAAGAAAGGAATGTCTTAAAACTCAGAATGGCACCAGGCCCCTCATCCATAAGATGTATTTTGGGATAATCTTGGCACTGGAAGAGTCATCCCAGGCCATAAAATGATTGACTTAAATCCTGTAGACAGATTACCATACAAATAGTTTCGTTTACATAGATTAGGGGAACAATGTCTGAATATAACATAATGGTTTGTCAAGTAGGTTCTGAACCATTAGGCAGAATGGACTTCAAGACAGAGTTTGGGGTAAAGGCATAGCACATTAACATAGCTTAAGACAAACATTTCCATAAGAAGAGTGCATTGGTTAACTCAAGGTTTGAGAATAGTTAACTTCAAGTGGAACCAGGTGTCATTATGGCAACACAGTATTTTAAGAGAAATCTCCTTTTAAATTTGTATAGGAAAGGGGGGGGGGAAAGCATCATTCCTGCCACTTAAGAGAGAGATAAAAATGTCTGACACTTGAAGCCTATTTCCTCTGTTTGGAGACCCCTGGCCTTCCTGCCTGTTACCCTCTCAGAGAGACACCCACTGTGGATAGGAGGGGACAGGCAGAAGACAGCAGCTATAGTTTTCTTTACTCTGAGGGGATAAGGAGTCTACCAGTTACAGTGGGAATGAACAGCAGATTGGCCCATTGATTACCATGGAAACCAGAAAAGGGCCACATCTCTCTTAGCCCCTCAGGCTAAATGCTCTCATGCGTCAGAGGTCTTTTCTTTGTTAATTTAACAGCAAACAGTCATCTTGAAATGGCCAGAAAACACAAAGGAAATAACAAGAGAGGGGTGTTAACACCCTGTATATATCCATGCATACTCAGTCACTTAGTTATGACCCCACTGTTTGTGACTCCATGGACTATATCCCACCAGGCTCCTCTGTCCATGCTATTTTCCAGGCAAGAATATTGAACTGGATTGTCATTTCCTCCTCCAAAGTATCTTCCCAACCCAGAGATTGAACCCACGTCTCCTGCATTGGCAGGCAAATTCTTTACCACTAAGCCACCTGGGAAACACCTTCACTTGTACCAAAGTTCCTGTTCTGCCGTCATCTGTCAGAATCGGCAGGACTCGTGGTGATGATCTGAAGATTCATTCAGTCTTTCCTGGTGACTCAGACAATAAAGAATTCACCTGCAATCCAGAAGACCTGGGTTAGAACCCTGAGTCAGGAGGATCCCCTGAAGAAGGAAGTGCCTAACCACTCCAGGATTCTTGCCTGGAGAATTCCATGACAGACGGCCGTGGCCGGCTAGTCCCTGGGCTCACAAAGTGCTGAAATCGACTGCATGAGTTATCCGCACACATATATAAACATATATAGTGGCTTTTGTGTATTATAGTTGGTAGGCACTAGCGAGATGTGACTGCTATAATTTACCTAAAGGCATGTTATACATGTGTCAAAACACTTGTGATTTCAGGTTGGTTAGCATGAAGGTGAGAGCTCTAGTGGACATGTAGAAGTGAGAGGTTGAGAATTGACTTTTTCAGCATCTCTATCTTTAGGTTTGCAACTGATATCAGTGACTTACTGAATGACTGTGACTGCACAGAGCACAGATGACTGCCATCTGCTATCCACAGTGGGGTGTCTCTTCAGGACCTTGGGAAAAAGTTCAAGGTGATGCTGTGAGATCCAGCAGGCCTCAACTGGAGGATATGTGGGTGGGTTGCTCATTCTAACCACCTTTTTGCTCGTGGAGTGCACTGTGGAGGGCATTTGGTGCAGTGATGAGAAAGGGGAGACAGGTAGCTAACAAGATTCCGTTGGGATCTGATGGGAGAGGGTTCTGGAAGTTAAACCCTCTGTTAACCCCAGAGTTAAACTCTCTGTTTGGTGGCTAAGAAAAGTGAACATGAAATTAAGAAGAAGGAAATGTGTATAGAATTCTGACTTATTCTTTACATATGAAATGATATGATAGAGAAATTGTGTCCTGGACTTGCATTGTGCTCTATTTCTAATCAGCTTTTGTTGCTTTACTCTTCAAAAATTATTTTTCCTATAAGAGCTGCTCGTTTCTGCTTTTTTACTAATATGGAAACCTGGTCTCTGGTCAGCACATCTCGGGTATTGTGCACTGCAGGCTGTTTTCTGTTGCATGTTGAACTATGAGGACCATATCCTAGTGGGCACAAAACTCTCATTGTCACTTGACACTGGAGACCACGTCCTTGCAGTGCCTGTGAGGTGGTGGGTGCGATGTGAACTCTCTCCTCCTGCACTTTCAGGACTTGTGACTTCCCCTCATGTTTGTCCTCACTGTTAATTCCTCGTGTAAAGGGCGCTGCCGGGGGTGGATGAGTCACAGCACACAGGCTCTGGGGTCCCTGCCCGGGCCCGGTCTCCTGGGGCTCTTCACAGCCTCTGCAGCAGCCAAGGCTGATGTGCTGAAGGCGCTTCCGGGTGAGAGGTCCATGTCCTGCTGCTCCTGGAGACCCTCCACATCTGCAGATTCTAGAGTCTGTGAAGGGCCCACGGGGCTTCCTCACACACTTGCTTTCACAGCCCTGCTGACCTGGTCTCCTAGGATTGGGCATTCCCAGGGCAGCAGGTCCTGGGGTCACTGCTACTCTCAGAACCCACTGCTGCATCCAGACAGTCTTGCCCCTTCTCCCCAACCCAGGCCTGCCCCGTCCTCTCTCCTTTCCTTACACCTTCCCAAGTCTCATCCCTCCCAATTTTCCAAGTCTCAGTGCAAACCCGGCAGCTACCACATGTTTATGGAGGACCCTTGTCACATTATTCTGGCTAAATGAAATTGGAAGTGTTTGCCTCTATCCTTTCTAAGGGTCTGTGAAACTTGAGGTGTTGCTGTGAGCATTAAGCATCTCCCAGGTAACTCAGGCCACCCCAGGCAACGGGAGAGTCCTGTTATGTGGAATTTTTGTCCTTCCCTCCCCCAGGGCTCAACACACTCTCAAGTCCATGCCAGCTCCTCCCTTGGAGAAATGTATTGGTTAATTGAGTAATGGACTGATTGGAGACAGTGGCCATACACCGATGTTCCTCCTTCTAATGTGTCCACATTGCAAACTCTAGGGTTGCTAGAGGTTGAAGGAGGAAGTAAAGTAACAGTGACTAGAGGAGAGAAATAAGGAAGCAATTAGAGAAGAAGCAGCGGGAGAAGGAGGCAAGGAAGGCTGTGGGCAGAGATGCATGGAGACAGTGACCACCTGGAGGAGGAACAGATTGGCACAGCCTCATTCTTGGTCACACATAGGCAAGTTGAGGGTGGCAACAGGATGTTGGAGGTCAAAGGTCCACTTTTTCACTGAAGAGGTGAAACACCAAGGCCCTGGGAGTTCCCTGGAGACAAGGGCACCACAGTCCCCTGGTCACATCCTGACTCTAAATCTCCCCTTTGCTTTCCCACAGCCATTCCACAGGAGTTCTGCCTGGCAACACCAGAAAACTGAATGGAAGATAATGAAGAATTGGAGCAGAAGAGCAAGAATATGGAAGTCATTTACTGTCAGGGGACGTTCAACTTTACAGAATCCAGTAAGTTGCATTTTTTTTCCTTTGTGTGCCATTTCTCAAGGATTCTCTGTTCCTTATCAGTTCCTATTAGGGGAACGAGTGGAGCTGCACACAGTTCTCATCACTGAGATCACAGGAAGGGGTACCTGCTTGGATTCCTTCCAGTAACTCCCTTCAGTGACTCTTTTCAACGTCAGCGGACTTAAATGTATTAGATTATCCATTTTGTTGTAACTGATGGAATTTCATTCTTTGTAATGGCTAAGTAAACATTTTACTAAAGATATATAAGCCTGTATTTCTGCTAATAAAATACCCTTGCTCCACTCAAGACCTCGGTCCCCTGTGGCCTTCTTTCTGTCTTCATTCTCGGCAGAGCGTGGAAACCTACCGAGCTCACTTTCTTGCCCGGGCTTTCAAGACCTCCTTGAGAGGATGCCCTGTGCTTTCATGAGTGGTACAAGTCCTGTGAACGTTGGTATTCCATGTAACCCGAGAGATACTGCTCTCTCTCTCTCTCTCTCTTTTCATCGATTCCAGCCCACCAGGTTCTGGTCTGTATTAATGAGTGACCATTTATTTCTTCTTTCATATCTGTTAATTTTTTTTCTCTTTTTCTGGTCCATAGATTCTTCCTTGTAACCCTTTCCCATCTACTCTTTGCATCTTTTAATGATTACCATTCTGGAGGACCAGTTCTCTTATAGGCAGTTGGGTTCCTGGGACCTTATATAAAATCTATGAAATCTGTCCGCAGCTCTCTTCCTCCACTTTCTTAGCATTGTCCTCGCTCCTGACCTCATGTCTGCACCCTTGAACCTGGCTTTGTCACCATGAGTGGCCTGAGCAGGAGTTGAGGCTGGAATCAGTAAGTCTGGACCCACACATCTCAACAGGCCCCATGAAGTCTGCACTGCCCTGGGCTACCCCATATGGTTGCTTTCCTGCCCTGGGAGGGATTGGAGCTGCCTGACTGATCTCTTCCTTCCAGATATCAGAAAACTCTCTGCTCATCTTTTTGAGGGATGCTTTGTGGGATGTCTTTGGTGATGATGAAGACCTGGAAGAGCAAGTGTGAATGAAGGGCATGGGATGAAAAGGTGAGGCCAAAGAGGGCACATGTCCGCATCATGTCCTGAACTCACTGGCTGGTGCTTCAGAATCACCAGCAAAACCCCTGGGATCTCCTGTTGAATGTGACCAAAATAGTACAGACAAGAGGTGGTAATGATCCACACAGATAAGTGGAGGGTGCCCTGAGCACGTCTCCCCGGGCGCAGGTCCCGTGCACAGGCGCCCCCGAGGTCGCTAGGCGGGCTGCTCCGGAGGCCAGGTGCACTGAGGGCCGCCGTGCGCAGGAGTCCAGGAGCGGCTGCCCCAGCGTGTTCTCCTGGAAGGTCCCCGCCGGGGGCTTCCTCACCTCCCTCTGCAGGGGAGATGCAGCTCTGCCCCCCAGACCCCATAAGGGCAGCAGGGGGCACCCCTGGTTCATCACCAGCTGCAGAGAGATTGGGGTGGCCCCTCCCTCCCCAGTCCTGGGCTCCTGGGAACAGAGTGAAGGAGACACAGGCTCCCAGAGCTTGTGCAGGCAGGGGGTCCCCTGGCATCTCCACACCCCTGTGGGTGCTCCCTGGTCTTGAGGGTCCCAGCCAGCCCGGGGGGTGCCCGAGTCTGGGGTCCCTCAGGTTCTGGAACCCCAGGGTCCTGGGTCACCTCAGGGCACCATCCCTCAAGCTGAAGTTGGAGGTTCTGCAGATTCTTCTCTGTATGTGTACAAGTCCAACTAAAGAATACCAGAATGCAATTTAGTGCCATGTGCAACTTGGGAGGGTGCTGCTAGTGGTGAAGAACCTGCCTGCCAAGGCAAGAGACACAAGAGGCTCAGCTTCGATCCCTGGGTAAGGAAGATCCCCTGGAGAAGTGAACGGCAACCCACTCCAGTATTCTTGCCTGGAGAATCCCAGCGACTTTGGACCCTGGTGGGCTATCATCCATAGGGTTGCACAGAGTCAGACATGACTGCAGCAAATGAGCAGCACACTTGGGATGAGTGGCAGGATTCAAGTTACTCATGTTCTTTTTATTTTTTATTTTTTTCCCGATCGGTCATTAATAACATATTTTGATCTATTACAGTTTAAAAAGCAGTGTGTTCTCTCAGATTTCAATGTTATAATATGCTACACAATTAAAATGTCCTTTTTTTAAAATTACAACAACATAATAGCAGTTTAAAATCATAAATCTCAGGAGCGTTTGTAGGTTAGAAGCAATTATTAGGGAATATTGAAACTCCAGGTATCTGTCCATTTCCAATGTTGAGGTCTCAGAAGCAGTTGTACTGAATGTAGGATGGGTAAGCATGTTCTCCTACCCACTGTGTCATCTGGCCTCCTGCTCTTCCCAGGGCCTAGAGGAAAAGGGGGGAGGGGGCAAGCTTTTAGTCCTGGATCCCAGAGTCCCCTGTTCTGCCTGAGTCTCACTGTCCAGGGAACCCATCAGTTGAGGGTTGCCAGCCAGATGCACAGGTGTACTTGCTTCTGTGGGACGTTTCTAGACACTTCCCACTAACAGACAATGCCCTTAGCAAAGAGCAGCAAACAGGCCCTGTGCTCTGTAGATCTGAGCCCCAAAGCCAAGTCTAGATCCTGGGAAGTCCTCTGGGTCCTGCACTCCTTCCCCAGGGCGCCCTCTGCTGTCTGACTGTGCACCTCCCGGGGACTCCTCACCTATGCTGGTGTTGCAGGCTCTGCTCTGCATCCCTGAAGACCTGCACCTGGATGTCATCCTGGACCCCAGAGTGTTGTTTGGTTGTATACATTTAGTATTAGTTTCACCTGCTGTTTTATATATAAACTCTGTATGTATCTATATGTTCCATATTTATATGTAAGTTTCTTCATATAAATATTTTTTATCTATTTTTTTTTATTTGGTGTATACTCACATGTATAGAATAACACCTTCAACAGAGGTAGAACTTAATGAATTGTTGTAAGCCAATCACCTCAGTGTTCAGTAGAGAAATAACTTAAGAAAGAATGAAGGGATGGAGCCAAAACGAAAACAACACCTGGTTGTGAATGTGACCAGAGAGAGAAGCAAGGTCCAATGCTGTAAAGAGCAATATTGCATAGGAAACTGGAATGTTAGGTCCATGAATCAAGGTAAATTGGAAGTGGGCAAACAGGAGGTGGCAAGAGTGAACGCCATCATTCTAGGAATCAGTGAACTAAAATGAACTGGAATGGGTGAATTTAACTCAGATGACCATTTTATCTACTACTGTGGGCAGGAATCCCTTAGAAGAAACGGAGTAGCCATCATAGTCAACAGTAGAGTCCAAAGTGCAGTACTTAGGTACAATCTCAAAAGCTACAGAATGATCTCTGTACATTTCCAAGGCAAATCATCCAGTATCATGGTAATCCACGTCTATGCCCGGATCAGTAACGCTAAACAAGCTGAAGGTCTATGAAGACCTACAAGACCACTTAAAACTAATGTCCAAAAAAGATATCCTTTTCATTATAGGGGACTGGAATGCAAAAGTATGAAGTCAGAAAACAGCTGGAGTAACAGGCAAATTTGGCCTTGGAGTATGGAATGAAGCAGGGCAAAGGCTAATAGCGTTCTGCCAAGAGAACGCACTGGTCATAGCAAACACCCTCTTCCGACAACACAAGAGAAGACTCTACACATGGACATCACCAGTTGGCCAACACCAAAATCAGATTTATTCTCTTCTTTGCAGCCAAAGATGGAGAAGCTCTATACAGTCATCAAAAACAAGACCAGGAACTGACTGTGGCTCAGATCCTGAACTCCCTATTGTGAAATTCAGACTTAAATTGAAGAAAGTGGGGAAAACCACTAAACCATTCAGGTATGACCTAAATCAAACCCCTTATGATTAGACAGTGAAAGTGAGAAATAGATTTAAGGGACTAGACCTGATAGACAGAGTCCCGGATGAACTATGGACAGAAGTTCGTGAAACGGTACAAGAGATAGGGATCAAGGCCATCCCCAGGAATAAGAAATACAAAAAAGCAAAATGGCTGTCTGAGGAGGCCTTACAAATAGCTGTAAATAGAAGAGAAGCAAAAAGCAAAGGATAAAAGGAAAGATATGCCCATTTGAATGCAGAGTTCCAAAGAATAGCAAGGAGAGATAAGAAAGCCTTTCTCAGTGATCAATGCAAAGAAATAGAGGAAAACAACAGAATGGGAAAGACTAGAGACTTCTTCAAGAAAATTAGAGATACCAAGGGGATATTTCATGCAAAGATAGGCTCAATAAAGGACAGAAATGGTATGGACCTGACAGAAGCAGAAGATATTAAGAAGAGGTGGCAAGAATACACAGAAGAACTATACAAAAAAGATCTTCACAACCACGTTAATCACCTAGTGCCAGATATCCTGGAATGTGAAGTCAAGTGGGCCTTAGGAGGAAGCATGACTACAAACAAAGCTAGTGGATGTGATGGAATTCCAGTTGAACTATTTCCAATCCTAAAAATGATGCTGTGAAAGTGCTGCACTCAATATGCCAGCACATTGGCAAAACTCAGCAGTGACCACAGGACTGGAAACAGCCAGTTTTCATTCCAATCCCAAAGAGAGGAAATGCCAAAGAATGCTCAAACTAGTGCACAACTGCACTCATCTCACACACTAGTAAACTAATGCTCAAAACTCTCCAAGCCAGGCTTCAGCAATACGTGAACCGTGAACTTCCAGATGTTCAAGCTGGTTTTAGAAAAGGCAGAGGAACCAGAGATCAGATTGCCAATATCTGCTGGATCACTGAAAAAGCAAGAGAGTTCCAGAAAAACATCTATTTCTGCTTTATTGGTGTGCCAAAGCCTTTGACTCTGTGGATCACAATAAACTGTGGAAAATTCTGAAAGAGGTGGGAATACCAGACCACTTGACCTGCCTCTTGAGAAACCTATATGCAGGTCAGGAAGCAACAGTCAGAACAACAGTCTGGTTGCAAATAGGAAAAGGAGTACCTCAAGGCGGTATATTGTCACCCTGCTTATTTAACTTATGTGCAGAGTAGATCATGAGAAATGCTGGGCTTGAGGAAGCACAAGCTGGAGTCAAGATTGCTGGGAGAAATATCAATAACCTCAGATATGCAGATGACACCACCCTTATGGCAGAAAGTGAAGAAGAACTAAAGAGCCTCTTGATGAAAGTGAAAGAGGAGAGGTGAAAAAGTTGGCTTAAAGCTGAACATTCAGAAAACTAAGATCACGGTATCTGGCCCCATCACTTCATGGCAAATAGATGGGGAAACAGTGGCTGACTTTATTTTGGGGGACACCAAAATCACTGCAGATAGTGACTGCAGCCATGAAATTTAAAGTCACTTACTCCTTTAAAGGAAAGTTATGACCAATCGAGACAGCATATTCAAAAGCAGAGACATTACTTTGCCGACACAGGTCCATCTCGCCAAGGCTATGGTTTTTCCATTAGTCATGTATGGATGTGAGAGTTGGACTGTGAAGAAAGCTGAGCGCTGAAGAATTGATGCTTTAGAACTGTGGTGGTGTTTCTTTAGGGATTGAATGACCAGAGAATATTTCAGATTAGACTTTTTATCTCTGTGGCAATAAATTCCCCCAAATTAATAGACCAGCTTCTTGGCTTCTGGGCAGTTGTGCAAATAGGCAACCATAGCAAGTGTGTACATATATAAAGCCTCAAGACCCTGGTCTTCTATTCACTGGACTCGGTATTATGGCCACCTCCACCACCAGCTGACTGGTAGCTCTTCTGAGGCCATCTGAGGCAAATAACACTCCTATTCAGATCTCTGCTGTGTTGGCCCTGATGCTTGGCATTGGACTCTATGTGGAGGTGTTTAAAAAAATGCTTGGGGAACTCTTATGTTAATGACACCACTATGAGCACCTCTTGATCATGGTTTCTTTTTGCGATATAGTTGGTTTTAAAACAACAAACCTTACTCAGATTGTAGAAAAGAGATCACCCTGAGCAGACATATTCCTTTCATTTCTGTGTACAAGCTATTTCTACGATTTCCAAAACTAGAATAGAAGCAACCAACATCAAGACCAGAGCACTATGGCGCTGTTTACTAAAGTTTTGATCAAATATTTTCCTACAATGCAATAAAGATTATTGCTTTGTCCACGTGCAAATTTAAGTCTTCGATGCCTACTAAGTTAATACCATAGATTTTTATTTAAGTGTAGCATTTCTAATGTAGACTGTTGTTGTTCAGTCGCTCAATCGTGTCTGACGATTTGTGACCTCATTTCTTCTCCTACATACCATTTCTTAGAACCATTAGACCAGATTTACTGGATCCCAGGGGATGGAAACCCCCACTGTTGCCAGAAGACATCCTGACATTAATCCTGGCAACTTCATGTCTCAGCATAGTATAGAGTAGAGAGACATGATTTGGTTGGAACAGTTTCAGGATGTATTACTGCCTACATTCCAAGCTACCAAACCATGGATGTCAGGCAATGCCCAGAACAAATTAGTCTCAGAGAGCCAAGCTTACCCAGTTATTTTGTTAACTCTAAAATATTTTCTCCAATGGTGTTCCCATGGCAATT